CATGGAAACAACCTAAATGTTCACCAACTCGGGAAAGGATTAACAAGCTATGGTATATGTATACCATGGAATACTATTCAGCAATTAAAAGAGATGGAGACTTAACATCGTTTGTATTAACCTGGATTGAGGTGGAACGCACTCTTTTTAGTAAAGCATAAGAATGGAGAAGCAAGAATCCAATGTACTCCATTCCAATACGAAGGCCGTAGATGAGCTAATACATGGTCGGGGGTAGGGGAATAAGGGAGTGGGGAGGGGAGCGGGTTGAGGGGGGTCATGGTGTATGGCACACCTCTTGGGGATGGGACACAGTTATAAGAGGGAATTTACCTAACAAATGCAAGTAGTGTAACCTCATTCTTTGTACCCTCAACAAATCCAAAACACACACACACACAAGTTTAAAAATAAATACATAAATAAATACATAAATAAAGCTGTTGTGGAACTAGACCTCTGTGACCAAGATTAGGAAAAAAGCCTTTAGCTAAAGTTGAAAGAATGTACTTACATATCACTTTTAAATTCAGGTTCTTTTTATTTTTATACTAAGTATTTTATTTTCCACTGTGCCCGGTGTATATAAAACAATTACCCTTGTTAAGTAGAAATCCGTGAAAATTTAGAGAGGTAGATGTTAAATGTTGACAAAGGCAGAAGTTAGTGTGTTACAGGCTTCAAAGTTAGCTGTCTTGAATATTTACTGGCTTGTAAGAAGTGGTTTAGGAAACCTTTGAAAGATTTATTTTACTACAACAGACTTTCCGAGGTCTGAAGGGATTTGTAGTGGAAGATTTCTCTGGACAGAATTGTTTCAAGTCTGTTGAACCACTTTCTTCACAGTAGCTGCTGGAGGAACCAGAGATGGTGCACATGAGAGCCAGGGGTGGTGTAGGCGAGAGCTGTGGGTGGCCCACGTGAAAGCCAGGCCATGCGTTACCTTTTGGTGGGGCCAGATAACTGGGCCTAAATTCAGGTTCTCGACATCTTGGTGAAGCTACTTGTCATGATACGTGTGAAAAAAGGTGTTTCCATTGACAATCTACTTTATGCATGCTGTTTTCTCAAGCCTCTGCAGTATCTGATCAGTTATATTTCCAGAAATTTGAAAAGTGGAACCCTTCAAATGATGAGGTGGCATTTACATCCAGGCTGGGCACATGGGGTGATGCGACAAGGGCAGGGAAGCAGTACTCAGTGATTCCTGCTGCTCTCCTGAAATTCGGACTGCTAGACCTGCTCATTGATACTGTTCTGGGTGTAGCTTTCCACAGCTGGTTCTATCAGCCTTTAAAACTCTCTTGCAGGAATTCTGTGAGTCTACACTGATACCTTAAAAGGATTAGAGAATGGATTAGAGAATTCTTTCATCTGTAGAGAGAGGGAAGATACCTGCATTGCTCATGATTTACCTGGGGCTAAAGACATCAGGCAGGAGCCGAAAGTCACTCCCATACAAGTATATGCCTGATCTCACCTAGTCCAACACACTCCAACACACTCTGTTGTGACTGTCCCTCGCCCTTGGGGCCAGGGGCTCAAGGAGCAGCCGATATGAAAACCCAGTTTGAGTATATCCCCAACTGTCACAAAAATCTCCAGTGGCTCACTCCATGCTCCCATCTGTCCCTCTCATGCTCATCTGAAACAGTTAAGGTAACGCAAGATGATTTCTGCAGGACTTGATAGGTCCATTTGTGTTTTAAAGCAGACACTAGGTGGTGTTTAGTGCAGGCCACAGTGAGCCCAGGAGCAAGAATATGGCAAGTTCTTACTTGGAAAGAGGCACATAAGGCATGGGATGTAACTGGATCAAGGTGCTCGCTAATACAGGCTCTGAGCAAGACCTGGGAGCCAGGAGACTGGGCTCCAATAAGAGCTAAAGTCTTACATCACAAAGCCTACTCTAGGATAGAAATAGTTTATGAGGTAAGCTCAGTGTTTTTAATGGAAAAGTTTCTGAGCACCTCCAGTGCTCCTCTATCATAGAAGAAGACTCCAGAAGAGTCAGGGTCCCTAGGGAGTGAGGAGCCTGCCTCCATGGGAACACGTCAGTGCACGGCCGGTGGGAGGGAAGGCCCTGGTAAATGTGCTCCCGTGACTCCATCTCCAAGGAGTGGCTGCACACAGGAATGCTGCACCATGTGGTCTGTGGTGGGCTTCCCTTCTCCCCTCACAGAAGGGGACATTTTACATTTTCTGCTTCTAGGTGGCATCTGTGACATCCTTGGGGTCACTCTGTTTGGCAGCCTGCCTGTGATGAGGGTGGGCCACTGAAAAAGGGTGGAACCAGAGCCAGTCAGAGCTGGGCCCTAAGGCAATCCGGGGGACACCTGAGGACACTGAGATTGGGGCAATGGCTCATGATGTAGCTGGGGGAGCCACCACTCGGCCATCAGTCTGCTGGCTCATGCCTCGATGACCTCTGCCCTATTCGCTGGAGTCCATGTCTCTGACTCTGAGTTACTTGTCCCCTCCCTAGAGTTGCCATGTTGCTTTTCATTACCAGCTAGCAACTCTGAGTCACATTTCTGGGCAGGAGATGGTGTGCTAGTGGCTTACTAGGAATCAGCTCTGCAGAAAGAAGCCCCTTACTGTTCTGGGCCCTGTGGTTCTGTTGTCATTGGTGTGACCCAAGTAGCCCATTTTCCCAGCATGACACACAGCAGCAATGGGCTGCAGAGTTCAATTTTGTGTTGTTGACCATGGTGGGCATCTTGAATCAACCTCAGGCAGCAGTCTAGCCTAAGGCCTGGCAAAATTACAATGCTTAGGCCAAATCTGGCCCGCCAGCTGTTCTTGTAAATAAAGTTTTATTGGAACTCAGCCACTTCCACTCATGTTTTACCCACAGATGCTCTTGCACTGCAGTGGCAGAAGTAAGAGGTTGCAACAAAGGCTGCATGGCTGGCAAAGCCTAAAGTATGTATCTAGCCTTTTCCAGAAAGAGTTTGCTTACTCCTGGTCCAGAATTAGAAGAGACTACATTTTATTTATTTAAATTGGGACAGAAATATTACAGTTCTGAGTCCTGGGAAGTGCAGGATGTTTGGGGCAGGATTTAAGGCTCTCAACCCAAGAATGGCAAAGACTTGAGACTTTAGCTCAAGGCTGATGACTGGTTATAGCTGCCTGGAGGGCTGTGTTGGGAAGGTTTCAAAGGCTCTGTCTGGGCTGGTGTGGGCCCCTCCAAGGAGATGAATACAGTTATGATTAATTTATACAAAGAGCACCACACTGGGAAATGAGCAAGGCAAACCCAGGCTTTTCTCCAAAGGCAAACAGTATCCAGGGAAAGCTTAGCATTGCCCAATGCTGCACTTGGCACTGCTGAACTTGGAGTTGTAAACACACCTTTACTGGGGTAAAAGGGAGGTGAGATTCAAATTTCATTTGTGCTGTGACAGAAGCAGACAAGGCAGGGCAGGGCAGGAAATGCCTAGGTCGAAGGCTCCAGCTTTTTTGGGGTGTGTGTGACAGAGTCTCCTTATGTTGCCCTTGGTAGAGTGTCATGGCGTCACAGCTCACAGCAACCTCAAACTCTTGGGCTTAAGTGATTCTCTTGCCTCAGTCTCCCACGTAGCTGGGACTACAGGTACCTGCTACAACGCCTGGCTATTTCTTTGTTGCAGCTGTCATCTTTTTTCTTTTCTTCTTCTTCTTTTTTTTTTTTTAGCAGGCCTGGGCTGGAGTTAATGGAGTCAAACCCACCAGCCTCGGTGTATGTGGCCAGCACCCTAACCACTGAGCATGGGCACCAAGCCTCTAGCTCCAGCTTTAATTAAAGCTCTCCATGAAGTCATGTGAGGCCAGCAGAGCACAAGCATTTGCTCAGGAGAGCTTCTTGTGTGAAGTGTCCTGTTTTGGGGAGGGAGGCATTTATTAATCTGTCCAACCAAAATGCCAGTTAAAGTGTTCCAAGTTATTTTAAAATGAAAAGCACATGATGTATGACCAGGCATGTTCACTGCAGAACGCAGTGCTGAGTGCAGCTCCTGTCTCTGTCTCTATTTCTCTCTCACACACACACATGCTTTCTGGAAAGTATCCAGCTATGTACTACGAAAAATACAGGTATTTATTATCTTAACAATGACTGGATACTTTCCAGACAGCCCTCATATATAAATCCCTTAGACTGTGGTTTCTAAAGTTGAATAATCTTAAGACTTCCTAGTCATTATGTCCAATAGCCTGTAATTCTGTAACTGCAGCAAATGATTCTTCCTCAGTGATCCAGATACATTCAGGTAGTGGAGTGTCTCCCGCAGCTCCTCATCCGTCCAGTGGCTGTGTTGCTGAAAAGGTACATGCACATCTAGTTTTTAGAATCAAGTTACATTAAAAATACATCATGTCTGCTACTCATGCTAAATTTTTAAGAGCACATTAGCCACTTTCGTGTAAATCCAAAGTTTTCAGATATTGCGTGGCTTTCGAGGGAAGAACTACCAGTAGTCTTCTATGTGTTTCAGCTCTTTTATCAAGGTGTTTTTCCACTTTAGTAGAACTTAAAACTTCTCAGGGCCACCGTTCCCTGACAGTGAAATGCAGATAGATAGATAACTGAAGAACTCAGTAAGGCATGCTGCCTGGCACTTACCACCCACCTCTCCCGCAAGTCACCGGGTCTCTCCCACATTCAACATTTTGGACTTAATTGTTTTTCCTTCACATCATGAAAAATTGCTGAATAGGCTCCAGTTGACTAGATTTTTTTTTTTTCATTTAAAAAATGATATGAAGCATTTAAATTGCATAAGCCCACCAGACCGCATCTCAAATGCTGACTATTCAAAAAAATGTATCTTACAACTTCAATTTGTTGAGAATTTATTTGCATAAAAATGAAAGTTTTTTCCTATGGAGTCCTTAGAAATCTATCACCTCTCTCAGCTGAGGTGTGGTGGTGGGAACCTGTGTTAGTGATCCTCGTAACTAAGAACACTAGTATATCCAGGGTGAGTTTGTGAGTTGAAGAAGAGCAGAGAGGGTGATCAGATGTAGAATTCCTCCATGTCATTATCTGCAGGACCGGCAGGCCCTGGGGGTGGTGGCCCATCTCTGCCAGTCCGCCCCCCTCTGGGAGAGTCAGAAGGGAGCTGTGGGGAGGAGTCTGTGCAGGGGGAGGCACTGGGAGACAGGGGAAAAGCACCAGCTGTCATTGAGGTGCAAGAAGACCCTTTGGTAAAGAAAGGGAGGGGAGCCCAGGGGACCGCTGTGGCCCCCCTGCTGACAGTGGACAGTAGTCCTTCTCTAGAATCCTTGTGTGTTGACCAATGGCTGCTGCATCCCTCAGAGGGGAGGGGTGTTTCTGCCATGCTGCAGAACCTGCTGGGAGCGGAGTATGCAGACACCACAGACAGGTCTGAGGAGGACAGCCGCAGGCCAGTGTCCACATCCGTCTCCTGAGCCCCCTCTAGGTCATCAATGGAGAGGAGGTGGATGTGCCTCCGTTCTGATGCCCTGTGCCCTGAAGCGCTTGTGTTTGAAAACCACTGTGGTTCCTCTGAGGAGGTTGGGGAGGGGCCTCCTGTAGGCAAACAAAACAAGGACTTGCTTCTTTGGAAACACCAGGGAGGGCTGGGGATACTGTTGGCTTGTTCAGCAAGTCCCTGCTGGTGCCCAGGAGGCAGCCCTGTCCAGCTGGGCCCCAGGTGTGGATTGTTGAGTGAGGGCTGGTGGCTGCTGCCAGGCATAAGGCTTGCTGTGATGGCACAGGGCGAAGGGATGGAATGAGGTCTCTTCCCGGAGCAGTGGTGTGCTCGGCCAGGCCTGGGGACCTTCTTGTGCACCCTTTGTGCCTGTGGAGAGAGGCAGATGATGTTAGTGCAGAGTGGGGGCTGGCTGATTGACACATCAGGAGACACTATCTCCAATCATTGGAAGCTTCCCGCAATGTCATGGCCATAAAGCATTTGATTCCCTAAACTCTAGAGCAGTGATTTCCAGTTTTTTTCATCTCATAGTACACTTGAAGCTGTAGTTAAATGTCTATAGCACACTTAAATTATGTTGCTCAAAATAAAAAATAATACAAATATACTTGTTGGTGCTACTTGACACAAAATGAATAACATCAACTCCATCAATATGCATCAAACTGAGGGACCCAAGGAGGCCAATACCCTGATCCCTCTGTAGGGAGTCAAGGGTGCAGCTGCAGGCCAGTGTCCACATCCGTCTCCTGAGCCCCCTAAATTATGTTGCTCAAAATAAAAAATAATACAAATATACTTGTTGGTGCTACTTGACACAAAATGAATAACACGCAGGCCAGTGTCCACATCCATCTCCTGAGCCCCCTAAATTATGTTGCTCAATGATCCTCACAGGTTTTTACTGCAGTCTCAGGCATGAGAAAATACAGTGCAGCAGAAAGCTTCCAAGGGAGAATCAAGGTTAAAAAACAAGTAATTTTTCTTTAACTGCATGATTGATCTTAACATATTCTGTTTACTATACTTCTGTTTTGCCTTTTTCTTATCATTGCTAATATGACGTAGGGCTGGACAGTGTGCTGTGTCTAGTGAGTATTGTTTTTAGTACTCAAGGCCTGCAATGATGCTTGGATTTTTCTCAGATCACTTTGTCCCTAGTGCCTAGCACTTTTAACTCTATGCTCTATCCTACATATACTTACTGTGCTTTGAACTTCTTTCAAAAATAATTAATGATCTTTTTTTTGCAGTTTTTGGCCGGGGCTGGGTTTGAACCCGCCACCTCCAGCATATTGGGCTGGCCCTACTCCTTTGAGCCACAGGTGCCGCTCCATAATTAATGATCTTTAAAAAATTTCATGGCACACCTAAGATCCTCTCATGGCACACTAGTGTGCCAGAGCATACTTGTTGAAAATCAATGCTATGGAGACAGAGGCAGCAGAGTTTTGAGGGGCACCAGACTTCTCAGGCTGACAAGTCATCCCTAAGGCTAGGAAGAGATTTAGCTCCTCACTGTGATTAAGAATAGTATTTCTGAAAGTACACATGTCCATGGTGCTCAACAAATTAGCAAAAAGAATAAAGGCCAGACTGGGCCTGATACTGGAGCCAAGAATCACCATAGTGCATGGCTCTTGCTTCCCTCCAACCATAGCATCACCAGCTGTTCACTTGGTAGACACTGGTCAGAAACATTCCAGATGGGCATGAGCAGGACAGGACATGTAGTTTCAGGTTAGATCCACACAGGTCCTGGTTCGGGACAGGCGCTGACAGCACTCAGGGTCTACCTGCCTGGGCAGGCCTGGTAGTTTTCTTTGGCTCTGCTGGCAGTGGAGGAATCAGCTTCTCAAGTGGGGTCCTGCCTGACTTAAAGACAACTGGCAAATGCAAATGACCAGGCTTCTGTGTGTGCAGTCCCCCTGCTGGGGGCTCTGTCTCTGGCCTATCTCATGTGCAAGGCTGCTTGACTGGAATTGCTGCAGGCCAAGAGTGAGACACTACAGATGTCTCAAGACACTCTTCCCTGGACCCTTCCAGAGTGAAACAAGCACCTGTGTCCCCATCACATAGATGCCTTCCTGGCTCTCAATTCTTCACGGCTGCCCTTATGAGCTGCTCTGAGGGCAGTGGCAATATACTATGGGGTCAGTGTTCTTTCTTTCTTTCTTTCTTTCTTTTTTTCCCTGTCTTTCTTTCTAAGGCAATGCAGGCAAGCTTCTTGCCACAATCCAGAAGCTCCCTTCTTTTCTGTTTAAGGAACCTTCTCTAAAGAACATAACAGCATCTCATAAATTAATCTGCTTAAGGCAACCAGCCAGGGAAGTCTGGTTATGTTCCTAAAGTCATCAAAAAATTGGAATTCAGTAATTGACCCATGGATTTTTTTCCTGAAACTTCTAAAGTAGGTAGTTTACAGTTGGGGAAGTGAAGGAGCACTGTGCAGCCAAGGATCTGCACATCAAGAGGCTCATTCCCCTTTGGTATATGGGCAGAAAATCTTCTCTGCTTTGACTACTGGTAAAGGCGATCCTGCTTCTCCTTGGGAAACCTGGCAAGGTCTTCCTGTTTGCTTGGGATCAGAGTGTTGTCTCTCAGCCTCACACTTCCCCTTTCTGAGTAAGGTCATTTCCTCTTGTTCTGTCTTTGGCAGAAAGCACGATACCTCAACAGTGTGGCAATGTCTCCTGTGGATGGACCAGTGATGTACCTTTCAACCCAGGAACTAAAAACTATTGGGGGACTGGGTTCACACGAGAAACCAGATTTTTGCTCTAAATAAAAGCACCATATTCTGCTTCTCCTTTCACTCTCCTCTGGGTGGTTTTCATATAGCCACTAAAGATGTTACACACAGGCAAGCCTGTGTTGCCTTTTTTTTAAATTTCAAAAATTAAGAGGGTACAAATGTTTTTGGTTACATGTATTGATTTTGTTATGCTTGACTCAAGGTTATAAGTGTACCCATCACCCAATTAGTGGTCACTGTACCTGGTAGATAAGTTTTTGCCCAGCCCCTGCCCCCGCCCAAGTTGCTTCCCACTGAGTTTTACTTTTCTCTGTGTACATGTGTGCTCATCAGTTAGTTCCAGAATAGTGAACACATGGTGTTTGCTTTCCATTCTTCAGATATGTCACTTAGGATAATAGTGTCCAGTTCTATCCAAATTTTTGCAAAAGGCCTCATCCTTCATGGCTGAGAAGTACTTCATAGTATACATAAACCACATTGTATTACTACACTCATGGACTGATGGGAACTTGGGATGATTTCATAGCTCTCCAACTATGAATTGTGCTGCAATAAACATTTGACTGCAGGTGTCTTTTTGATATCGTAACTTCTTTTCCTTTGGGTAAACACCTAGTAGAGGAACTGCTGGATCAAACAGTAGGCTAACTTTTAGTTCTTTGAGGGATACCCATACTTTTTTTTTTTTTTAATAGAACTTATACTAATCTGTAGTCTCTCCAACAGTATATAATCATTCCTTTCACTCTGCATCCATACCAGTGTCTATTGTTTGGGGATTTTTTAATAATGGCCATTCTGGGGCAGAGCAAGATGGTGGACTAGAAGGATCATTAGGCTGAGCTCTCCTAGTATCACTGGGGAAAAAAAGAGAACCCAGCCATACCTGGTGCATGGACCTTGCCTGGAGTGGTAGCTTAGGGAGCACAGCCAGGAGGTGTGAACTGGATACAGCAGGTGATCCAGAGTGGTGGAAATCTGATGCATTAGGCAAGTGATTGTGATCCACTGGGCTCAGTTGGCTCCCCTACAGAGGTCCAGGATGGGAGGAAGCCTTTCTGGAGTTTTCAGTTATTGGGGGAAGCTGTGCATTGAGTGGAAAGCTTGGAAGAGTGGGTGGACTCAAATAGTATACAGCAGCCAGATTTGAATACTGGTTGGGGTGGATTTGCCATTGGTTTGGTGGCTGATGAAGCAGCCATACTGAGAAGGTCTCAGGAGTCAGGGGGCTGCCATTGTGGGAAGGTCAGGAGAAGGGGCCTTGGCAGGGGCCTAAAGCACAGCCATCTTAATTCCACCTGCCAGGATCAGAACTCCTCTCTTGGGACAGGCTGAGGGACTCTCACATCCTACTGGAACAGTTGTGTGGGTGCACTGTGAGACCAGTCCCTGAAGGATTCTGGAGAGCTTTAAGATCCCAACCTGGCAGGGTCTGAATGCTGAGGAAACAATCAGGCAATCTTTGAGGGCAACTACATTAGGAATAAGGACCATAGAGGTTGCTGGCTGTGTTCTCTGTCTCTTAAAAAAAAACACAGCACCACCTGGTGCAATACTGCAACATATATATTCATATTAAAATTTGTTCCTTCTGCTATATAAAATTTTTTTTAGTAATTTATTTTTATTATCATTTTTTCCTTTGTCTATTCTTTATTTTTGTCTTTTCCACATTGCTGAGGTTGCTGCAGTTTTTGGCTATTAAAGCTTTTTTGTTTTGTTTTGTTTTTGCTAATTTGTTTGGTTGGTTCTATTCTAAACTTCCATTTTTACTATCATCAAAAGCAAGGACTCCTGTATTTTTGTCACAAGGAATATGGCTAGTCACAAGGCTATGCTCAGGCTGGTAAGGAGCTCCTGATTTCAAAGAGCCCTCCCAGCCCAGCCCCTCAAAATCCTTGAATTACAGAAATGGCTTTATCATCATGCCAATCAATACCATTTCTTATATGACTCTCATTCTTTCTTCCTGTCTTCATTTCCTCCTATTCTTCAATTCTTTTCTTTTATCCCCCTTCACTTTTTTTTTCTTTTTCTCTTTCCTTCTTTGTTTCTTTTCTTCTTGTGTCTCCCTGCTATCACTTTATCCTTCTCTTCCATTTGACCTAAGCTCTGAGACAAGGAAATTCTAAGCTCTGAGACAAGGACATTTGAAGCAAAGGAGGAAGCAAGAAGAGAAAATGAGGACAAGGAGTTGAACAAGTAGAAAGAACACATGAGGAGGAACCAACAGAAAAATTCAGGCAACATGAAAAACCAAATAGAGCAACTCCCTCAAGGGACCATGAGACAGTTACTGCAGAAGACTCCACCTATAAAGATTTAGTGGATTTGATAGAAAGGGGATTTAAATTATGGATGATAAAGACAATAAAAGGAATGGACATGAAAATGGAAAGACAGAACCAAAAGTCAGACAAGAGATATGTAGAATATAGAAAGGATATGGCAGAGCTTAAGGAAATGAAGGAGGCAATCAGGGACTGTAAAGATGCAGTGGAGAGCATCAAAAATGGGTTAGACCACAGAAAATGAAGAACCTCAGGGCTAGAGGACAAAGTTTTTGAGTTAATCCCATTGTCAAGGAGTCAGAAGAGAGAAAGCAGAA